TTTAATGGATTGAAAATCGGACAAATCAGTTTGCCAGCTCTCATCTATATTATCAGCATAAGTCGCATTACGGGGGAAACGACGCCTCGCAGGCTTGTGTAGTGTGTACGCGTCTTCCCCCTGCAGAAACTAAGATGTCTTTTCTTTTTTCTCACCTGTGGCGTTCCACAATTTCCACGCTGTACTATAGGAAGCAGGGTGTGCAGGATCATGGTAAACTTTACCAAGTTTTCCAGCCATTTTTCCTTATCTGTTTTTTGACGCGTTTTTTAATTTGTTTTTTGGCCCGCTTTCTAATCTGTTTTTTAGGTTTTTTCACTTTATCTATCGATTTAACGACAGAACCGCTTCTAACAGGCCTTATTCCAGAACCACTTTGATTACGAGCCGAAATAATTTCGGTTCTACGAGTCGAGTTCGGTATGAGTTCGAGCGGTATGTTTAAAGCCGCGAGAGCCTTGATGAAATGAGAAACTCCGACAGGTTCAAAGTTTTTCCTTGAGCGTGTAAGGTCTGATATAAGATCAATAATATTGGAGTTTGGCACTGCTTGATCGTTTATAGACACAGTCCCTGTAGAATCCCAACTGACTTGTGAGTCTGTTTGGCTCAAATAGTCAAAAATTCTCAGTGCAGGCGCTTTATATGTTTTTGGGAGAGCTGCTGCGAGCTGCTGTCGCATCACCCCTCCACTCGCACTTTCATCTTTTGAAAAATCACCCACTGAAATCTGGACAGGTTTTTTCTTTTCATTGACGAAATAAAGATAGCGCTCTAAAGCCTGACTGTAATGTTTCCACTTTTCTGAATAATCGGCATATTTTTTACGCATGATTAATTCCATCTCTGCATCGAGTGAACTCGACTGAGTTTGCGCAGTAGACGGTGTGGGGTCATTTAGCTTAGCCACACTCTCATGTGGCACAAGCACCATTTTATGTGTGTGATTCATTTGAAAAGACTAGGAAGCACAGATGCGACGGTCGAAAGAAGTAGGGGAAGAAAAGTACCTCCCTTCTGCAGGAGTACCTGCTTTTTAGTTTTAATACCTTTGCCCCTTTGTGCTAGGTGTCTGATTTGGGTGCGATATTTTTTGAGTTTTGACCTTTGACTTGCAGTAAGGGGGATATTTCCACTGAGCAAATTGTCACAAATTTCGCAAATAGCGTAGATGATCGTTTTGTCTGATTCTCTTAGAATCGCTTTACGGAGATTAGGTTTAGCTGACTGCAGAACCTTAAGCAACGCCTTATTATGGGTGTTTACGGCAGGAGCCATTGTCAACGAATGATTCAGACTTGTGCTAATGCCTCCCTTTTATACTTCCCTTTTGGGATGTAAACGACCGTGGACTCACCAGGAAAAATGAGAGTGCGAGTGCGCAAGTGATCAGCCTGATTTGGTTTGAAATCGAATAGAATGTACGTGAACCCGGCCTTTGTGGCGTCATGATAGGCCTCTAGCAAAGCACGAAAATGGGGAGGATCGACTTGCATGCAAAATGTGCGTATCTGTGCCAAGTCACGGCTTGTTTTTAACAGAACAATATAGTGTGTGTTCAAACTTATTTGACGAAGGCCGTCAGGAAATAAACATTGACTCAGAAAATAAATACTTAGGTTTCTGTGATGAGAACCCTTAATGAAAAATTTTAGGATTTCTTTATGGTGCGACTTAATCTCATCCATAAAATCATCAATGACAATTAGCTTTGGGCCTTGGCCCGAGGGGTGGTCTTCCAGCATAGGGAGTTCCTGTCGGAAATCGACTGTGTCTTTTAGTTCGCCGTAAAGAGGCTGCCATTCAGAGTAATAGAAAATGATTTGTTCAAATTTTGTATTGAACATTTCATCTCTATTTTCAATCAGACGTTTCATGAAATAAGTTTTCCCGCTCCCCGTTCCACCTACCACGAGGGCGGTGCAGGGATGTTGGAACCTGAGATCCATCGCGAAGACTGATGGCCGACTCAATATGATTGTTTCTTTTATAGGGGCCTAACCAGCATCTCCCCTGCGCCGGTGGGGCCTGCATGCACCTCCCCTGCGCTGGTAGGGCCTGCCTGCTTCTCCCCTGCGCAATTTAAATGACTTAGGCGTCGCCAAGGAGACCCATGACCTCGAGGAGGTCTTGGTCTTCCTCGTCAGCCATTTCCCACGCATTGAAGCCGTGAGGCACTGTCATCTCGAGCCCGACTCTGCGACACTTCGTGTTTTTAGCCTGCCAGTTCTTATGTGACGACCGTGTCACGATCTTCCAGGTTGGTAGGCGGGCTATTTGATGAGGAATAGGGACATTGATCTTTTCTCTGTCACCTAAAACCATGGACTTTAGGTTGTCATATGTTACTAATTGATCACATGACTTATTTATGGTTATGCCTCTCACCTTGATGCATACCTTGATGTTGGTGACATCACCCCCTACCGCCACCTTATAGGCATAATTTTTAGGCCCCCCGGCCGCGAACTCGGTGATGAAGGACCCAGGACCGTAGTCCTCCTCGACCTGATCGGTCAGGTCACCGAGATGCGTGCCGAGGGGTAGGTCCGGCTCCCCCGGGCGGCTAATATAGGCTACCGAATCGGTATCACAGTACAGGGCTCTCTCCCGAACGATATCGAGGTATCGATACAGTTGAAGTCTACCATGACATGTGGTGAACGCCGCGTGAATTAGAGAAGAGGTGGGGAGGCTCACTTCACTATCCTCTGCAGGCATACAAGTCACTTGGAGACATTCATCACCTATAGGGATAAGCCCTGTCACAGTGATTGTAGGATCAGTAATGAGCCTTATAAGGTGTTCATAATCATAAATGAAGTGCGTCTTAGGCCTCAGTGTCTTTTCGCCCATCTTCCCCCAGAAACTATTACACATTAGTTTAGAGAGCGTTCGAAGTGCTGGGTTTTTAATCATCTTTGAGGGATCTAGAACAACCCCGTCATGCTCCAGGGTGTCCTCTACGTACTTTGCTTTTAGCTCGTCAGTTGTGCAATCTGCGGGCCACCCGCTAGCCTGTATTTTTAGCGCCATAAAGCACCGCACATAAGCCGAAAAGAGGCCATCCTCTTTTGTCTGAGGATCATACTGCAAGGTACCTGGGTACTGGTGAACCTCGTGTACTTTGAGCAACTCATAGCCCTTTTCTTGAATTGCAAGGAGAAGTTCGGGAGCACACCAACTCCCCGTCATCTGCCGCTCAAGAGGGGTATGATGACATGCCTTTGTGCATTCTTTTTCGGCGCAAGTGCGACATAGAGGAAACATCAATTTACCCCCGCACTTGTAGGGTAGCACTGGTAAAAACAAATCTCGTGGGGGCAGCACCGTACATTTAATCATCCCATTCCATTGATCAGGCAGTGGCATGTCCGGCACATCCTCGAGGTATATTTCCGGATGTCCGTATGGATACCGGCCTCTAAGATTGGCGTTAGGATACTCGCTTGTAACATCTGCCATCTTAATTCTCTCACCCTTCTCCAGGTCTGCCTTATGACACCAGCGGAAAGCACTTGTGCGACCACCGGTAAGCCCATCCCGCAGATCGAGATGGGGTGTCCTAGTAGTGGGGTGGTCTTGAAAGTATTGTTTTACCTCGAGATTTGAAACGAGTTGACGTTTGAATTCACATTCCCACATTTCTATCACATTATACCCTGAACGGCGAAATAGGGTTGTGATTTGTTGTGTTCTTTCATACCGATTTTCAGGGGAGTCGTCTGAGACAGGGTAGTGAGTTGGGCACTGGTGCCAATAGCAACTATGAAACAGGTAAATTCGCCGTTCCATGGTGCCGTTGGGTAGCGGGAGTTCTACATATCCATCCACAGGACGTCCCAGAACCATAACCTCACGATCCGTATGTATCGTCTTGATCTTTCGTCCTAATTTGTGTGCTTCATGATCAAGCCACTTCAGAGCCATATCAGACTGCTTGCCACGACCATGGTATCCTCCGGGGGGGACAATACCGATGGTGTCCTTTTTGAGGAAATTACGGCGAAACGCCGCCATGCAAGCTGCACTGAGAGTCAGACAGTTGAACATACAATCAAATCCGGCAACCTCCTTAAATAGCTTTCGAAATGCCTGACAGGACTGACGTAAGATTGTCACATCAGAAATGCAATATTCAATCAACTCACGGCGGAAATTAAACACATAATTCTCCGATACCTGTTTTTCGTACCACGCATTGAAATCAGAGGCTGCCTTACTCTTCATGTTTGACACGCAGTAGAGTTCTCTTTCCAACACAGGACCTTCATATTGATAATATTCAGGCTTATTAGCCATGAATGGCCAATACCCCTTTTTCAACTCGTCCAATCCAAATGATTTAGGCATGGCGCTTAGAGGCATAGGTAGAAACATCAAGGAATCGATAAATTTCCAATTTCCAACCTTCAATGAGAGAATTTTGGCACCCTGAAGAACGGGTTCTACTTTCAACTTTCTAGCCAATAGTTCCTGAAGCACTAGCACTCCATCAAACGCTTTTGCGTTATGTGCCACTAGTAGCAGCTCATGCTTAGGTGGAAAAGACTGCAGATAATCTATAAATTGACCCATGACGGAAATCTCTGGGTCATCCAAATTATGGAAGACATGCTGCCTACTTTGACAAACCGTGCAAAAATAATCATTTTGTGCAATATCGGCGCATGCGTCACAAACCGCCTGACAGACAAGGAGGTTAGGGATGTGTTGAAAAGTGTCTTCCTTTCCAGCAACAGGTGTATGTTGCGTAGTCTCAACGTCATAGAAGTGAGTGATGTACTTCCACCCCTTCTTTTTCTCTTTCTCACCCCATCTTGACATGTAACAAAGATGGTTTTCTTTAACACTTTCTTTGCAATTACTACAGTACACGAAACCGCAAACGTGTTTACGACCTCTCAATGTACTGTAACTCTTCTCACAGAGAGTACAAAATTTGAATATGTCACATTTTGTAAACTGAGAGTGAGGCAGCTTCACAGTTTTATGATTTTGCATGCACTCCTCACCAGCGAACTGATGATGACAGTGGGGACATCTCAGTAACGGTATGGCAGGGTCATTGTGTGCGTCCGCTCCGTAGCATCGCCAACACGATCCATCGCAACGATGGTCCAATTTATTACTATAGAATGCTACACATTTTGTACACTCAAACTCGTATTCAAATACCGTGCATGGGTATAAAATAGCATAGAAGTGCGCATTATGCAGAACTAAATGAATATTCTGTACTCCAAAAGTGTACGGTCCCTTAAAGACGCATTCTTTACACCTTTTATCTGTGTATACGCATATCCGATAACCAGGCAGCACTTCCTGCAATCTCTGCACATCGTCAATGGTACACGGTGTGGCAGGATCTATATGAGCCATAGTGCAGAGAGTCTCCGCCAACTCTTGCTGCACAGATGATTTAGGATCTTTTAAGCGGTAGAACGCATGCTTACTCACAGTCCCCCTTTACTTCAACACGGCTACACAGCGGGTGAGACACATCGAGTCTGCAGTGTTTTCTGGTGAAAATATTTTTCTGTCATCAATGTTTCTTGCTAGCCATTGCTCCATAGTTTCATTGGCAACCCTCTTCACACGACGTCCGCCAGCTTCAGGAAGGGGTATATGTATATAGCTCAATTTGAGCTGTCCATTCAATATGAATGACTGATTAGAGTTAAGAACTCTCTCGAGCTTATCTAAAACAACACGCCCGGAGATCTGGTCAACTCGACGCATATTGAACCACAAAGGGTTATCAATATTGTCCCCGTTAGCGATTTCAACAATCACCCTGTCTGCATCAGCAGCTCCCACCGCCTCCCGCTGCCTCTGCAGCACAGTGTCAAAAAGTGACTCCATGAGAACCTCAGAAGGAAGCGAGTCACCTAACCCCTTAATAAGCATCACCTCTTCTCGGAAAGTGGCTTTGAAGCGTTTTAATTCGCGCTCCTTCGACTCAAGCACCTCAATAGTGGGTGAGGGCACATGCTCCGTTTCCTCGTCCTCTTCCCGGGGCCGTTTGGATGGCCCAGGTTGAGGAGAGGGAGAGCGTGGTCGTGAGGGCCCTGGTTGGGGCGAGAGAGACCGTGACGGGCCTGCCGGTAGTGTTGCAGGCCGTGACGGCTGGACGGGTGGAGTAGTACAGCGTGCCGGGGGAGTTGTAGGGCGGGGAGGGGCGTTCGAGCCGGCACCACACATGGCCAAAGCCATGCGATAGGTTAGGGCGGCCTGGGGGTCGTCACCATTCTGGAAGCGGGAGTACGCAATGTACCCCACCAACAGGAAGGGGATAACCCTCAGGTCGGCCCTCTCCTCAGCTGTGGCCTCCACGAGGTTCGATAGGAACGTCGTGTAGGCCTCAGCCAGGAGCTCGACTGTGTAGAAACAACCCCCCTCCCATTCTGATAAAATGTCGTTTAAGATTGAGGGCATGTCAGAGAGAAGCAGGGCTCACGCAGAGCAACAAGCTTACGGCCCGAAGGCGAAGCAAAGGATGAGTAAACACTTCAATGGCACGAAGGCTAAGAAGTACAAGTTGGGGAAACAGAAAGCCACTGGCACTATCAGCAGCACAGTGAATCAAAACAAAGAAAATCTTTCTTCCAACACCCACAGTCTACTACGCTACTGAGCGGTGGAGAAAAATATTCTCTCGGCACTAGATGGTGAGGAGTGAGACATTTTTCTGACATTTTAAGTTGGTTTATTGGCTTCATTCAATGTTACACTGGTTACAAATTGAGCTTAGTTAATGTATTACAGATTACCTGGTATGGTCTGACTGTAGCTTAGCTTCCTTGCGTGACATGATCGGCTCTTTAGGCTGACATCGTTTCAATATAATAGCGTTTGACGTGAGTCAGGGATGATTGTGCCGTTAGGCCATGACGAGGTTTGGGACTCGCTACCACACGAGTCTGTGCTTAGTTGAAGAGGAGGGGGGGGGGGATTTTCCTGTCTGTGCAGGGTTGTTTTGCTACTGAGGTAAGGGGACGTGCCTCCTTCCTTTGTTAGTTGTGATGTTTTGGCGTTTTGCCTTTAATGGTGGGTTTAGCGTGAGCATAGTATGAGGATTGGTGAGGCTGAGGATGTGAGTTGGTTTAGCGTGAGAGGGTGCTCGGTTTATGATTGGGGATTTTGATGACTATGAGGATGGTCATGATAGTACATGGGTGATTTTAGGTTTCATATAGTAAGTGTTCTTTGAAGGTCTAGTAGTGGAGACCATGAGCTTTGCTCGGCGAAGCGCTCCAGGTGGTTGGGTTGACTGTGGTGCAGGCTGGCGATGCAGGTGGCAGGGTGCCTCCTGTTGCTGAGGTGCCTGCAGCGCAGACTGGTTGGCCTGCTGTGCAGGCTGGAGATGGAGAAGGCGGTCGCCTCCTGAAGCTGAGGTACCTGCAGCGCAGGCTGGTTTTCCTGCTGTGCAGGCTGGGGTTGCAGCGGTCTGTTGACCTCTTGGTGCAAAGGTGCCTGCGGCGCAGGCTGGTTGTCCTGTTGTGCAGGCAGGAGTTGAAGGAGGCTGTTGGACTCCTTTTGCTGGGATGCCTGGGGCGCAGGCTGGTTGTCCTGTTGTGTAGGCTGGAGTTGCAGAAGACAGTTGGTCTCTTGTTACTGGGGTGCCTGTTTCGCTTACAGGCTGTCCTGCTATGCAGGCTGAAGATGAGGGAGGAGGTTGTCTCCAGCTGCTGAGATGCCTGCAGCGCAGACTGGTTAGCCTGCTGTGCAGGCTGGTGGTGCAGAAGGCATGGGCCTCCTTTCGCTGGGCTGCCCGCATCGCAGGCTGGTACCTGCGGTGCAGGCTGGTAAAGAAGGGGGCCCATGCCTTCTGCTCCACCAGCCTGCAAGGCAGGCTGGTTGGCCTGCTGGGCAGGCTGGATGGCCTGCTTTGCAGGCTGGTGGAGCAGAAGGCATGGGCCTCCTCTCGCTGGGCTGCCCGCATCGCAGGCTGGTACCTGCGGTGCAGACTGGTTAAGAAGCAGGCTGGTCGCCCCCTGTTGCTTGGACGCCTGCAAGGCAGGCTGGTTGGCCTGCTGAGCAGGCTGGTTGGCCTGCTGTGCAGGCTGGTGGTGCAGAAGGCATGGGCCTCCTCT